AACTTCCGATGAGACCAACTTACGAATTACTTCCACTCGCCTCTTCAAACGAAATAAAATGTACTCCAGCATCAATCTATTAAGAGATTCTTCGAAACCCAGTTTTTCTACATACCCTTTTATTAAATTTTCATAGATAAAGGTGTGCATAATTTGGTCCCTTACTTCAATCAAATTTACAAAAAGAAACTAGTACAGTATTATTAGCCTGGAAAAATAACCATAAACATTATCAGGCAATTTATAGTGAGTAGAATGCTTATATTATTTAAATCATCCACATAGGATATGTAATTCTTCTCATAAGTATAAATCCAACCTGTTTCGCATTTTTCCGCCTCAAATTTGTGTCCCTTAATTGCCGACGTGTCAGTCCACCTGGCCGACCGACAAACGGCAACTGTAATGGGCTGAAATCAGATTCACCATTATCACTCTCCTTGGATGTCACTTCGAAATCGGGAGTGGAAGAGCCTTTAGCTTTAGTTGACCAACGAGCACGAACTAATCCCGCAAGACGCAAGAATGGTAGAAGGCCTGCAGTAAAGTGTGCCTCAAGAAGGCTTTCAAGCGAGATGGATGTATCACCACCCATCGAGTTTAAATCATCTACGATCGGTGTGGCGAATTCAGTAACCTCAATAGAAGTGGCGGCGATGTTGTCATTTAGTTTATCGCCTCCAGAAAGGACGGCTGCGAAGAGGGCGATGGGCTGTGCAGCAGCAATCTCTGTGGCAAGTCGGCTATATTTATTCTCGAGCTCGATATTCCAGACGGATTGCGGAGGAATTATGATCCAATGGCCGGATTCCTCAGATGTATCCGAGGTACGGTGAGATAAAAGAGAGTCTTTATCAGAATCAGAGACCAGAGCACCTGGTCTGCGCGATTTTGAACTATCCATTAACCGAACAGCTACTTGGCGCAGATGATTGGAGAAGGGCACGGGTAACTGGAAAAGAGGAGTGTGTACGTATAAAGAAGTGCAAGGAGAAAGATATTTTGATGTTCAAATATAAGATACCTAAATTTAAATGATCTGTAAGTTTTGAGCAAATAAAGCAGTTTCCGGTAAAAATATCCAAAATAAAAGAGAAGCCAAACGTTAACTAGAAAGCATTTGGCGTCAAGCGTTGGCGACAAGCACATTTGTACTGGGATTAGGGCTGATAAACAAACTTGTATTTTCCATTACGTTCACCCATATTTCAGCATACGGAGAAAAGACATTTTAGAAATTTACTCACTCTAAACGTTAATATCGTGAAATAAAATAGCAAATACATTGTGCATTAGAGCCAATATTACAGATAACAATTTTAGTCGAAAGATTTGCCTAAAAAGTTGCATCAGCTTTTTGAACCACTGGTTAAGGGGTTGAGGGGTAGTGTTGCAACTTGGCATTCGTAAAAAAATGTTTAAAATAGTTGGTCGAAAGTACAATCTACTTTGGATGAAAAAGCCTTATGGGAGGCAGTTAATAAAACAATAGGTATGAAAGCCATAATTTATGTTGTTGTCGCAGTCTCACTTGATGATCTATAAGTAATTTGATCATTTTTTCGCAACTGGGTTGTATTGCCATGTATACCTCAATGAACAAACTCTATCTGGAGTCCTCTGCTTTAGTATTCATGATAATTTATAGTGTCGTATCGTCGAATTGCGGCATTCTAAGTCGTTTCGACTGCATTTTAGTGGGCCATGCTGCTTGTCGGATTTACGAGTCGTAGCCTGATGCTAAGATTGGCAAGGCTAATTGAAGACATCGATTGATATGTCAGCAAAACGTGTAAAAATGTAAAAAGTCCATAACGGTGCTAAAAACTATGACTACCAATAAAGAGGATTCCAGAAGAAGCGTATTAATAGAGGTCTCTGTAAAAACAGGACCAAGTCGCGACTTCCACTTGACTCTTTAAATAAAATGAAGTGTACACCAAATTAAATAACTCTAGATCGCGGATATGAAGACCAAGATGGTGTGGCGTTCTGTTTGGTCGCAGACACCTTTAGCTTTAGTGTTGGTTGGACCTCATCCTTGCAACTTTATCAGATTATCAAGCAGGTCCTCTGGAACGTACTTAGTCCTGTGTCCTTTCTAATAGTATTCACGATTTCAAGGAGAGGGTGAATAACGCCTTGAGTAGCACAAATGGGGTTGCAATGTTCGAGTGAAATACGTAAACCAGGGAGATAGCCGACGGATCCTATGGGGCAAGAGAGAGACTGTGATAAAACCTAAGGAAGGAGGATTGCGTAACAATATGGCAGACTCTGATCAACAATTCCAACACAAGGGTGAAGGGGGTGAGAACGTTAGTGTGGAGAGTGAAGGGTTTTCATGAATGAAGCTCAAAGGAGCTCACCACACTACATCGAAATAAACACGGTAAAATTATAATAGTGAATGTGTGATAGGAGGGTATAGGAAATGTGAATAGCCCAGGGCAGAAGAGGAGATGTCACAACTGTTTAGCACACGTTTGGTCAAAAGATCGGCTTCACTTGGCTCTTTGACAAGTTGTTGTGTCGTGCTTAGAATGGCGAGATTCACTGACGATGCCGACTACGATGCGGGCGAAACGTCTGGGAATGTACCACTTTCACGGTCCTACTTTGGAAATGATGATGCATACAATGGATTCCGGACCAGGTGCGTTCCTCTAAGTCTTCCTAACAATATGACTAAGTTGCGAAAACAAGGTCAAACAACCTCTATTATGTAAGTAGATTGATAAACACATAGATAACTAATCAAACTTCTGAAGTTTCAGATCCTGAAACTTAAGACATCTTTATAGATTGAAAAGATCTGGTTGCAGTAATGCTTTTTGCATACCTTGCATTTAAAATATTTTCATTATAGATGTTCGTGGCTTCTGATTCTGGCA